AAGGCAGTCAGGCGGAAGGTGTGCCCTCTTACTCTGGGAGAAGCCAGCCTTTTTATTCTACTCAGGCTTTCAACTGATTGAATGAGCTTCAGCCACATTAGGGAGCACAACCTGCTTTACTCAGACTACTTATTCAAATATTAATGTCATCCAGAAGCATTCTCACAGACACAACCAGAATAAGGTTTGATCAAATGTCCAGGCACCGTGTGGCTCAGTCAAGTTGACACATAAATTTGACCATCATATCAGCCAAGCTATGTAGAAGGAAAAAGGGAGGTAGAGGATGAGTAGGGCCCAGAAATGTAGAATTTAAGACCCAAGAAATCCATTGATATGTTAGTGTCCTCCAGGAAACAAGATGAAACATTTAGATTCTATAGAACTCTTAGAAAGTGGCACAAGGAAGATGACATCTTATTACATTATGAAAAAAAAAACCAGACATGTATTTTCTCAGTAGAGTTAAGTTCTCAGTTATGAGTAGAAGTATCATTACTATTTAGTGTGTGTCCACCATGACCCATGCATTTCACATGCATCATCTTAGTTACTTCTCACAGTAACTCTCAGAGATGGGCTCCTTTATGTCCATGTTGAAGAAGAGGCAGAGACTCAGAAGGTTGAGTATCATGCCCAAGGTCACTCAGCTAGTCAGTGACAATGCTGGGATTTGCCTACCACCAAAGCTTCTGCTCCTTTTAACTATGGTTTTCTTCCCTGCATCATGTACTGTGTCCTGACACCTGGACACTACCTGGCAAATGGCAGACACTCAGCAAATATTTGTTGAATGAATAGTGAGTGACACCCAGATCATCTTTTTCCTTCAGCCTTTGTTTTCACCAGCTCTCTGTCACTGGAGCAGCATCCACTCTACCCACCTGAACATGTTTACCCTTTTCCTGAGCCAGTCAATTCTAAACAGAGAAAGAAGATGATCCTTAACCTCCACCCCATCAGCTGATGAGGTCTGGATAGTTCCTCTCCAAATGGCTGAGTTTGTCCTATGATAGAAATGAACTCCGGAAACCCATAACCTCCCAGCCTCAAGTTGTAATGCTTCGAGTCCATCTCTCTGTAGGACTCTTGAAACAACACTCATCCTAGCCCTCAGGTTTTCCTTTCCAAAGAAGCATGCCATGCACTTTTAGGTACTCTGATACATGATACACAATAACAATTCAACATCAACTGAATCTGAGTTTGCATTATAATCCTCCACTTTGGGCGTATGAATTGGGGCAAAAAATTAAACTTTCAGTTTATCCTGATCTGCAAATTTTGTATGACTGTCCCTGGCATTTAAGGCTATTTGGGGGATTTAATGTGCTAATCCATGCAAAGTACTTAGCTCAGTGCCTGGACTATGGGACAGGAGGATGAAGGATGACCTAGTAGCTATTGGTATTGCCCAGTTTTGACTCCAGTTTCATCCTACAGGAGGTGTTCTTTTCCTCTGGAGACAAATGTCCAGTGCTAACATTATCAAAAAGCTACCTGAATTGCACACACTGTTTGGACTCTGCATTAGAATTATTGCCCTTGCTAGGGTCTGTTTTGCTAGTTGAGTTGATTCTCCCTAACTCATGTCCCTTTTCCTGGGTTATTAATATACTGACTCAGCAAAATACTCAGCTCCTGTGATTCTCCCACTCCGGCTGCCTGCCCTGTCCACCAGCCTTCTGTGGCTGCCTTCTCCGTATTTACATGAGCATGTGTCACTTTCTGTATTAAAAGTTCCCTTTTATTTGAATTAACAGCCTAATCGTCCCAGTTCACCACTTCCAAAATGACTCTGATAAATAGAAACCAGAACATTTGGAAACTGCCCCCAATCCTCTCTGTGCAGGTCTCACTTAGAAATCTCTGACAGCTGCATGTTTTCCTAATGACCTTCAGTTGCTCAGAGAATGTATAATTCATTCTCCACCTATCTTCACTAATCCCACTTTCCTGAAGTAAATATTAACTGAACTTATCTGCTAAAACAAGCCCAAATCAAGTCTCTTATCAAATGAACTCAGAGGCAGAACAGAAAGCTGAGAATCTGGTCCAGAGGAAATTGTCCTTTATTGGAAAGGCAGATCTAAAACTCCCTTTGCCCTGCAGTTCTATTTAACCCAGTTCAACAAACCTTTAGTGAACACTCTACATGTAAGTGGCAACAAGGGTAGAAAGGTCAGAAAATTGGATTCAGAGTTAGAAGGCCTCACAGCAGAATTGGATTTGAATTCCAGTTTTCACTCTTGACCAATTATGAACTGCAGGAAAACTGCCCTCAGGCTCATTTGAAGTGGGATAATAACATCATAGCAATTACCAGAAGCCCTCAACACCTCTTCCCCACCTTTCTGACATACACAGCTTTCAGTAAGGCTCCCTGGACTTGTCAAGGATAAGACAGGGAGTGTCTTGTAGAATATTAAGGGAAAAGGCTGACATCTTGGTGCATGGATGGATCATAGAAGCAGAAGTTGCAATATGTCCAGCTCAATTCAAAGGAAAAAGATGTTTGCTTTGTTTATAAAAATTTACCAGTCTCATTGCCCACTAAATTACCTTTGCTGATCCAATTCTATTTCAGCCCATTCCAGTTCTGATATCCCAACAGCACATTTGCTTGCTGCTATCCCAGGAGATTACAAGAGTAAGTCTAGAAATGTGACTTGTACTTTAAATTCAGAGGCATTTGTTCCCAAAGGACTGATCTGATGATCTCACCTTTTTGTCTGAACTTTTGGATGGTACAGTCCTGGAAAGCCTCCCTCTTTCTGGATTAGGCCACTTTAGATCATCATGGCAATGGGGATGGTATGTGGAGTATAAATCTAGTGTCAGAAGGTAAGGGAGCACCAAGATTACACAGATGACACATAAGAAATAATTCCAGCTTTTCCCTGCTAAACACACAGCTACAAAAGCCAACCTTAAAACCATCTATGGGAAAAGAGTATTGTCTAACTAGGCAATGGATCCTTTCTGATAAATGAAAGAGTAGATAAAAGGCAAAGCACAAAGTTAAGAAAGTTTTAAGACAAGTGCTGATGTACCTTTACCTCCAAACGTAATATTGTCCCAAATGCTTGGGTTTCCTCTTGTACCACTTGCCCCAATAAAACCCTCTCCTGCATTCATCCCAGGTGTGTGATGACAGACTGAGAAAATGCTTATAAAAGAGCCAGGTAGATTGTCAAGTCCTGGAACTGGCAGGGATTGTCATCATGGTTAGCCACTGGGTGCTACAAGGGGTCAGCCGGAGAAAATCCCCCGATCCCCAGCTCTCCATGAGTGCAGGTCCCAGTGAGAGCTGAGTGATTATAGGCTCCACAGCAAGAAAAATCAGCTGGGAATTGTGGGAGAGGAATGATGATAGATGGAAAATAAAAATGTTTAGGAAAAGGTCTGTGCTATTAAAAGAAAGTCAAAACCAAATGGGGCAATTATAGAGAAGAAGTTACAAATGCCTTAGAAATCTTCAAGGAAAACAATTTCTGCCCTCTGCAGGGACCTTCCAGTGCACCCTCAGTAAAGCATCATTAAACCTGCATGGGCCTAATGAGGTAACTCAACATCTCCAGTTATTAAGCAAACAAAAGCTCTGCTCTTGTTCCCCAGAGAGCTCTCCAACCCACATACCTTCCTTGAGTTCAAATTAAGGAATTCAATATTCTGACTTTTTGCACCAGCCTTTGTTCATATCTTTAATTTACATACTCAGGGACAGAAGAGGCAAGACAGGGGTAGGTTAACAAATTTATTTCTCTCATCAGCATCTACCTACTGATACTTCTTTTCTAAAGGAGGATATGAACTAGAAACATACCTCATTGTTCAAAAGACCTTAGGGATAAAAGACATAGTAAAAAATAATAAGAAAAAAAGACCAGAGAGAAAAAGACTAAAGTACATGGGTGCCTCTCAGATTATAGGTTTGTTTTGTTTGTTTGTTTTTTCTCCATCATTCATTGTTTTTTTCCTACATATTTTGGTAACATGAAAATACATTATTTTTTAAAAATCTCCAAAAAATGTTTCCAGTAGGCAACCAAATCATGCACACCTGGCCATTTGAATCCTAAATTGGTGACAGTGATGTGTGAAGAATTATTCTTGGCCTCCCTATAATGAACAAGAAACAAAAGACAAGGGCACCAATGATCTTTACCCTTAAGTTGGGAGTTTATGTAATGTCCTAGCCTCATGATGTAACTTCAGTGGAATTAAAGGTGAGAATTTCTAGATACAGTGCATCCAGCCACATGGCCTGTCTTTCCCTACTCCCTTCTTCTACCTCAGAATATACAAACTACTTCTCCTTGTCAGGATTGCAGATGGCTCTCAGGACTGGAAGTCCTCTATTACACAGCTACTCCTTGAGCCCAACCCAGAAAAAAACATAACTGCTTCTCTGTCTGTCCAAATGCATAAAGTGAAAGTCTTTTCAAAATAACCAAACAGAAGAAGCTACCAATTTAAATTCTACCCCCATGAACCATTTACTTTGGTCATTTTTTTTCCCTTTTTAAATTTACTTTTTGTAGTTGTTCTAAACATCTTTGGTGGACCACACTTGTCCTACAAATTTCAAGTTAGCCTTTGGCTCTCTGTGTAAGCCAATCCTGTACATTCCAAGTGGAGTTACAGATGGAAAATCACAAAAATAAAAACTATTACCTTGAGACAAGGGGGAACTTAAAAAGCCCTTAACTTGAAAGTTTTACTTCTGCCCAAACATTTAGTCAAGACATACATGCTGGGAAGACAGCTTTCCAGAGAGCATGACTTAGCGGATGGAGACTGAGGCCACACTGGTGAGCTGCAACCAGTTCACACTGGCTCACCATGCAGGAAGCCAGCTCACACCAGCTAGCAAGAACCATTCCCTAGGAGAACAGATTCTCGATGCTAGCTTAACTTTAGCCATGGCACAGGGGCTGGATACTGACACCACAGAAATCAGCAAATGCTACAAATCTGAGTGTTTTGTTTTGTTTCAGAGAGGCAGTTTCTGGCACAGCATCAGCTGCGGTCCTGAGAAAGTCACTGCTTTAAAGGGGTACCTGGCTCTTAGAGGCTTTAAGAGAAAAGCATCTTCCTTCCGTGACTTCTCAGGGAAGTGCCAGCAAGAAAGAGAGATCCATCCCTGCGACTGTCTTCCTTTCTATGAAGAGTTCTGGCCAGTTACCTCCTGTTCACCTTTGTGTGGTGCATAATTTTCAAAGTCGTTCAAAAATAAATAAAAAGAAAAAAAACCAAAAACAAACAAAACAAAAAGAGCCCTTTAGTTACCTAAGCAACATTGCTTTTTACACCTTTATTGTTATAAACCCAGACTGTCTGGTTCTGGAACCATTCTGTGAATACACTAGCTTAAATTTCCCTCTTCTGCTTTACCCTCAGGCCATAGCTTTCACTCTTTTCCAAAATAAGCTTTCCCAAAGTGGTTTCCTCTTCTGCCTCCACTTCCTCATCTTCCATCACTTCTCACTCCCTTGCTGCCATCCGCCTGCTGCCTCCTCAGCCGAAGTGCTTTAGTTCCAGTCAAGAAGGGCTATCTCTCCCTCAGACCCCTGGCTGTTCTGCATCCTCCCTCCACTCTCTGTGGAGTATGTGCCCCATCAGTAGGGCCATGTCCCTAAATGTCCCCTCTTGGCTTCCACAGCTATTCCAAATTGTGGTTCTCAGCCTTTATTTCTGATTAGTCTTCTATCTTTTCTTGCTTGGATGGTTTTCCTATCATGGTCCCCAGATTTAGAGCTTCTCAGGAGTCTGGGGTGGGCACCTGCCATTGGGTACATGCAGCTTTTGGAACATTTCTTACATTCATTGATACTTTATATTACTGTTATATATTCAAATATGGTGTTTCCTCTAGTAGAATATAGACATCTTAATTGCAAAGAGCAGGCCTTATTGAACTCTGGATTCTTTTCAGATCCATTTCAAGTAACAAGTTGTACAAAGAACACAGACTTCCACAGCCAGATCTTCTCAATACCCTAAGGTTTCCAATATTAAATAGAAGAGTGGTTCTCAAGCAAGGGAGATTGCCCTTCAGGGAACATTTGACAAATCTGGAGCTTTTAAAAAAATTTTATAGCTAGGGAGGGCATGCTTCAGGCTACTAAGGGTTAGAGGCCATGGATATTGCTAACTACCCTACAGCATAGAGAGCAATCCCCACCAAAAAAGAATTATATGGCCCAAAATAAGCAGTGCTGAGGTTGAGAAACTGACTTACAGTGACTATCTTATTGCAATCTCCCTCAGCAGTTCAGAGGTTAATGGGAATAAGAGTTGAGTTGTGGCTAAGTGGTACTTAAACAGTTGCATTTTGTCAATCTCTAGTCACACTTGCTTAACCACTTAATGACTGAAAGTCATAAGGTTTGCTGTACCCATCTACTCATCTCAACCTAGCAACAGGCGGGTCCCATACTGGCCTTCTCTAAGGTCTTTGTTCTGACCCTCTGTCCTCACCGAGTCCACAACAGGGCCCCTCACTTTCAGTTCTTGGATATGTCTCTAAAGCACAATTAACAGCCATAGCATCAAGACTATCTGTGCATGAGTGGGAATCTGTATCTTTAACAAGCATGTCACATATTCAAAAGCATGTCATGCTCATGTCTGACAATCATTAGTTATGGGAAACTGTAAGTTAGTGGCTAGAAGCTAAGAGACCCTAGGTTGAATGGCAGTTATGCTCCTGGACATCGTGAGTCTTTGCTAATTCTCACTCAGTTTTCTGGTCTGTAAAATAGGGATATTAATAAAACACACCTCATGGGGTTGTGAAAACTAAATGAAATAAGGCAAGCAAAGTGTTTAGCAGCTAATAATCACTTAGCAAATATGAGGTGATGTTAGTAAAACAACTTCAGATGCTTTATGGTTCAGAAAAAGAGACAGAAGCCAGGAGGCTCTTCTAATATCAGGAGATTATGGATTGTCATCAAATTAATAACCTACTTTCTCTAAGTACTCCATCAATCCTTCCTGTGTTGAATTGAACTGAACTGATTTCGGTAGGTTGTACCTTTATCCCATCATTTGTAACTGAGCAACAATTCAAATAGAACAATACAGTGTTTGAAAGGAGTAATTCATGGGGCTTTAAAGCAGTGAGGAAAGGAAATAGGAGAATATGGTACATAGAATACAAGATGCACTGCTGGGAGGCATGTCTTGGATATCTTCTATTTCTACATTAGCTTGTGTCTCAAGAGTCCAGAGCATCTCGCTAATCTGATGACTCTCCATAACATCCTGGTATTATCATTTCAATTTTTTGAAACCTGAGCAAACTGAACTGCAGAAAAATTGAGTGAATTGCTCAAGGTCACACAGAAGTCAAGCCCAGAATAGAACTGATGTCTGCTGGTTTCCCGTTCAGCCATGACCCTTCCCAGTACACCTTGTTTGAAGCAGTCTGGTGAGGGTGGCTAATGGATTTGATATTCTTGAACCATTAATATTTTTTCCAACTAATGTTCTTGGCAGACTTGTTTATTTTCCAGAGTGAGAGATATTTCTGAAAACAGAGTCTGTGAACAAATTTGATTATCAGTCTAAAAGAACAGTAGTTGAAAAACAGTCAATGAATTTTAACCTAAAAAGGTGGCTTTGAGGACCATAATCAAAGAGGAATGTTTCAAATCAATATCAACAATCTTGAAAAATGGGAAGATTGAAGGAAAAATATTGAATATCAAGGTAAGAGTTTTGCAAGGGATTGAAAAACCTGGATTTAGAGTAAGAGCAAGGCCTTTAGCAATGAGCTTGAATTCCTGCCAAGTAATGCAGTGCGCCTTGGCATCCTTCCCTGACCCCACAATCCTGGGCATTGGCTTATATCTCATGCTGCAGCCAACTCATTTCCTCTAGCCCAATCGATGTCTTTCTAATAGCTGAGCATCCTGCTCTGAATCACTTGCAAACCACTAATATACACTTTCACTGTTTATTTTCTGACTTGAGACAGAGAAGAGCAAGGTCAGTTGCTTCTTTCAATGATTTCTCTTAAAATAAAAACTTTCACTGCAGTCTTTTGAACTTTTGAAAACCAATGCCCAACATACAGCCACCTTAGCAAATCTGGTTACTCATGATTCCATAGTTTTTCTATAACTTTATTATCTTTATCTATGTCTATCTGTATCATATATATAAATGCATCAGAATTATTTAATGGTTTTGTGCTTTTATGTCTGACAAATACAGTGTCTTGTGCTTCATACACACTCAATTAACACTGTGGAAGAAGAATTTTAAAAATACATAAAGTTAATGAATGGTCCCTTTATAATTAGGAGCTTATTTTTGTGCCAGGTAGAACCCTCCTATTATAAGAATAAGCATATATTGATCATGTGATGGTGAGGAAAAAAGTCACTGGTGGGGAAGGTGCATGTCCAGGAGCTGTAGAAATATGATAGTATGAGCAAGGGAATGGAGAGTGGTCCAGCCACAAGATGAAACTCCTTGTGTGAAATTATTGCAGTCAGTAAATTTGCTCCCCACATTCTCCTTGGCAGCCAGCATTCTCACAAGCAGTTTCATCACCACCACCACCACCACCACCACCATCATCATTCTTATCATCTTATGTTTGAAAGTCAAAGAAAACCCATCAAAGTCAGGAAACTGGAGCGTAGATATTATTATTAATTATTATCATTAGGCCCCCCATGCTCTTTTGGTGTTTATATGAGATCATTTTTACACCAACTGAGATAAGATTGCTTACTTTATCAAGAGTAGTTGAAAAATTATAAAATACGTGGTAGAGAATTTAGTTTCAGTGGTCCACATGCAGGCTCACTTA